CCCCAAAACCCCAAAACCCCAAAACCCCAAAACCCCAAAAATTTTAAGTTACGTTGAAATTCATGAAGAAACAAACCCCCACACACCAAAAACTCTCCACAAAAATTGCCTTAACAATCCCACTCATGCTCCTCCTCTTCCTCCAAACATCAGAATGCACACTAAGGTAAGCTCACTCTAAATTTTTCAATGAAAATCTGGGCTTTAGCTTCAATTAGATAAAGCTAAAGAGCAACAAGAAGAGATGAACCTCTCCTCACTAATAATATAGAGAAGCAAGGAGGAGCCATATTAGACAGCAAGTGGGCAATGAGCATGAAACAGAGTGGAAACAGTACAATAGTGGTAGGAGAATCATGGATTCTGAGAAAATAGTGGGCAGAAAGATGAGAATGAAACATTATGGTGATGGTAGACCCGTAATTGGCATATTTACTCAGCCTTATAATGAAACTAATGATCACATCATGGCAGCGTATGTTAAGTTTGTCGAAAATGCTGGAGCAAGAGCTGTACCTATTGTCTGGAGAGACCCTGATGAAGATATTCTTAGCTTAGTTTCAAAAATTAATGGGATAATTTTCCCTGGAGGTGGAACAGCTTTTAAAAATGAAGATGGATCTCTGACTGAGCATTCCAGAAAGGTAGAGCTTGTTCTTAACAAAGTTAAAGAGTTTAATGACCAAGGTGTTTATTATCCAATCTTGGGCATTTGTATGGGGATGCAACAAATCGCACAAAGTGAAGCTCCTTACAAAGACACTGTAGAGTTATATAAATTTGATTCTAATGATGATGCAAATAATGTAACACTATGGCATTCTGTTACACATTCCAAATTGTTTAATGTTATTCCTAATTACCTGATTAATGCTCTTCAGTCTGAAAACATTACTTACAACCATCATCACGACGGTATATTCCCTTCAATTTGGAACAAATATCCAATCCTCAGGGACCACTATTACCTTCTCGGCACCTCCTATGATGAAAAAGGCGTCGAATACGTTGCTCTCATCGAGTCCAAACACTACCCAATCTGGGGTCTCCAATTCCACCCAGAGAAGCCTCTCTACGACTGGAACCCTGATCTCCAAATTCCTCATTCCCCTTCTGCTCTTCAGCTCAGTCAATTCTTATCTGACTTCTTCATCAGACAAGCCAGCTACAACTCGAACAAATTCGACTCCGCCCAGGATGCCTTCGACCACACGATAGAACAAGTTGCAGCCAGTCTTCCAATGTACAGCCCTAAAGAGCTATACATCTTCAATATCTAAAGTTCAATAGAGGATTTTCAGAAAGGGGTTTTGGGGTTTTGGGGTTTTGGGGTTTTGGGGTTTTGGGG